GCAGGGCGCGAGGCGCAGAGCCCGCCCCCTCGCCCGGCCCCATCGGTGGGGATCGGCCCAGAGGGCGGGAGCAGGGAGGGGAGTTGGGGTCCTCACCCCCAGCCCCTCCCCTTTCTCCGCCCGGCATAAACCGGGAGCCGCCCCTGCCCCAGAGCCTTCTTCCCCACCCAGACAGGCGCGACCCGCCGAGGCAAAGCCATTGGAAAAAGCCCCGCCCTCGGGCCGGCTACCTCCGGACCCCAAGTCCTCCGCGCGCGACCGCCAACCACCGCGGGCTACTGCGCATGCGTGACAGGGCACAGAACGCATGCGCATTGACGGCCGTTGGCTTGCGCCGAGGGGCGTTTTCTGTTCCCGCACTCTGGCCTGGTGACAGGGAAGGAAAAGTAAGAAGTTGAAGTTCTATGTGACCTTATTACACACAACAGAGGCAAGGCAAAGAAAGAAGGCGAAAAAACACTCGAGCTAAATTGTATCTTAAGGTTAGCTTAAGATAGAAACAGCCTCTTTATTGTGCTTAACCCCAGATTTAAGTAGGTAGGGAGTTCTCGCACTTACTTATGGGAAATGTAGTTTTGATGGTGTCGACGTTCTATTGGGGACAGAGACTACAACCCCCAGGGGCCGCCGCGACATTGCCTGTGGCTGCTGGGGAATCCAACGGTTAGCGGAGGCAGAGGTTGACAAAGCGTCGGCTTGGTAAGCGCTGGCTTGGCTATCACCTTTCCTTTGACAGATTTTTCCTTCCTCCATTTCCACTGGGATTTTCAAGACAAAGCTATCAAGGGTCGCTGTCCTTAGTCCTGGGACTTTTTACAGTGACGTGCGTGGGAAGGACTAGTCCAGGGGCTCAAGCCCGGGTCCTGGTGAGGCGAGAATTTGGGAGCGTCTCGATCCTGAGGGTCTGGGGGAGCTATCTAAGGCCGGGCAAGAAATATACAGTAGAAACGCGTCCTCTGCGCTCCTGCCTCTGCTTCCGTCCTTTCTTGTGGATACTTGTGGTATGGATTAAGGATCCCTGTGCAATTGCACCTTTGTTTACTTTTGCATAGGGATGTTTCGTGCTTTATTTGCTCGAATGGAATTCCAAGCAGGGCTTTCAAAACAAATTGGCAAATTGATTTGGTATGGCACTAAAGGGAAAAGAATCCCCAGTATTGCAGGCTTTAAGGAGACCATATGAGAAAGCAAACCTATAAAAACCTCCATAATTTAGCATCTTTAAAAGATTCAATCATTTGTTTAAAATTGCTGTTTTGTTCTTTAAAAAGTTAATTCTCTTGAGATTAGTTGAGGTTCAAAAGGCCATGAATGGATTAATAATCAGATTAGATTTTACTTCTTTACGTTGCAGAATGAATGTATTTCTTAAATTTTAGTCTTTCGGGGCACTGACTATACAATAGTGAAAAAGACACGATCCTGTCTAGTTAGAAAAATTAAGGGTTAAGAAATTAAAATACTCCAGCCAGCATGTGGTGTGGTGGTTGGAGTGTTATAACATGGCTTACTCTGGTTCCAGTCCCAGATCTAGCGGCTTGCATTCTCACTTTCTCTCTCTCTCTCTTTCTGTGTCTCTCTGGTGAGCACATGTGCCCTACAGCAAATTAAAAAGTAATAATAATAAAATAAATTTTAAAAAACTACTATACACTATCATTGGACTAGCTAGAAGGAAATAATTCAGTGCAGCCTTGGAGAGTCAGAGAAATCTTAATCCCAAGGGAAGAGAAAAACCAAAAGAATGTATACTGTGGCCTGGAAGTGAGTAAAATAGGGTATTTTTAGGAAATTGCAATAGGCCAATCTTATATTGGGAGGTGCTAGCCTTTGTGATGTACTTGAAACTGGGAAGATGCAGATGCAGTAAATTTTCCAGATTCTTGAACAGATGTATAACTTGAATGAATTGGTCTAATTTGGCAAGCCTTATTACATTCTAATGCTACTGGTTTGAATGAGAATTTTAAAAAGTGAATAACTTCTTATGAGTGTGATTTTAAAACAACAAAACTAAAGTCATTTCATTTCTTTAAAAGAATTATTTTATTTAACCTTATGTATTTATTTTAATTTGACTAGAGAGGGACAGAGTGAGAGAGAGAGGGAAAGGGAGAAAGCAAGCCAAGTTCTGGATTCGAACCATGGTTGGCCATGTGGGAGTCCAGTGCCCTTAACCACCACGCCACCTGCCAGCCCCAAGCCATTTCAGTTTTGTCTCTGTTTGGGACTCGGCCTCCTTAGAATACCAGCCCAGAAAGCGAGGCATAGTTTCTCAAGGCAAGGTGCCCTTTTTATGCCATAGTTGGATATGATCTTGTCCATACCCTTTGCTTCACCACTGCCCATGACCCTGAAGTGTATACAGCTAGTATAGTCAACAGCTCCATCCAGCTTCATGGCTCAGCTTTTCTTTATTTTCTTGATATTTCACCTTTGGAATCTCAAAAGCACCTCGGATTCAACATACCCAAATGCACAGTTATCTCTTATGAATCTGGCGTTTTTCCAGTGTTCCCTGTGTAACAAAGGACACTGCTGTCCATCCACTTATGAGAATTTAAAAGCTAAGCATTCTTCTTTATGTCTTCCTGTCCTTCATACCTCCACAGCCAACTTATTACCAATTTCATGTCACAAATATACCTCATCTACACACTTTTTGTTCCATCAACATAAACAGTCTTAACTCCAAATTGCCATAATCTCTAAAACCACTACTATGGGGATTATTCTCAGTTACCCTTCTCCATTTGTTCTACACACAATAGAATGATCTTTTGAAAATGCAAACCTAATCAGATTTCCTCATTCTGAAAACCATTCAGTGGTATCATACTGCTCTTAAAGGCACAAGTCCTCTGTACAGCCTCACATCATCCTCTAGTCTGTTCTCTTCTACAGGCTCTTTGACTATGCCACTCTCCAACCCAGCCTTACAGACTTTTCTTCACGCAGTCACCGCTGCCTATATTTTCTTTCACCCATGTAGTCACTCGACAAAGATGTGTTGAATGCCTACTGTATGACAGGGCCTTGAGCATATAGTTTTAAACAATACATAAAAATTGCTACTGACATAGAGCTCACATTTTCCTAAGGAGAGATAGTAAATAAATATTTAAAATATATAGTAAATGAAATGAAAACAAATGCAGTGAAGAAAAATTAAACCGAGAAGGGGGGAATAAGGAATACCAATACCAGATTGTAGAGGCCAAAGTTCACTTTTATTTATCTAATTATTATTATTATTATTATTATTATTATTTGCCAGAGGGCACATGTCCTGGGGTGAGGGGGAGGGGAGAGAGAGAGAAAAAATGAGAAAACACCCCTCCTGGCTAATGGTCATGCTGCAATTCCTTCTCCTCCATTTCTCCCTCCTTTTGGGATTTTGAGCATGCATGCACATGTGCCCAGAGTGTTTCTCAAGCCGCTGGGTTTGTAACTTGAACCACATAGTCAGCCATGAGGGAATCTAGTTGCCTTAACCACCACACCATGGGCCGGCCCAAGGTTCACTTTTAAGTTAGGTGGTCTGAGAAGGCCTAATCAAGAAGGGAACATTTGAAAGGATATAAAGTAGGAGAGACAAGTGAACCATGCCAATGCCTGGGAGAAAAATATTCAGATAAAGGAGTCCACAGGTATTGTAGTGGTTAAGGTGTTGGATTCCCACATGGCAGACCATGGTTTGAGTCCCAGACCCAATGGCTTGAAAATCACAGTAGATAAATAAATAAATGTTAAAGAAAAAAAAATCCAAATGAAGAGGATTGCTGGTGAAAAGAAAAAACTGTGGATGGTAACATGCCTGCGCATTCAAGAAATAGCAAGGAAGCTAGTGTGTCTGGAGCATCATGAGTTCAAGAAAGGAGAAGAACGTGAGGTCATAGAGAATGGAGGTGGTGAGTGATAAGAGATCATCTAGGTTTTTTTTTCTTTTTTTTTGAGAGGTTTTTTCCCATAGGGCACGTGCACTCTCCAGAGAGAGACAGAGAGACAGAAAGTGAGAAATCACCCCCAAGGGGTGATGGCCACACTGCACTCCCTTCTCCTCCATTCTCCTCTCGGGATCTTGGCCACAGGCACGCGCCCGGCATGAGTTTAAGCCATTGGGTCTGGGACTCGAACCACAGCCTACTACATGGGAGTCCAGCAACATAGCCATTACGCCAACTGCTGGTCCCAAGATCATGTAGATCTTTAAAAGGCCTTTGACTTTTTGATTGCTATGGGAAGCCATTGGAGGGTTTTGAGCAGATGAGGGCATGAGCTGACTTTTTAAAATGATTAATTCCTTTTAGTTGTGTTGATATAAACCATGGGGAAGCAAAGGTAGAAGAATCAGAGAGACTGGTGAGGAAACTGAAGTCATAATCCAGGTGAGAAGTGATTGCAGTACAGGGTGATAACAATGAAGGCAGTGAGAAGAGACCAGAATCTGAATTTATTTTGACAGTATCGTCAACAGATTTTGCTGTCAGATTGGATGAAGTGAGGGACTAAAAGAGTCGAAGATGACTCCAAAATTTCTAGCCTGAGCAACTAGAAGGAAGAAATTGCCACTTGCTATGATGGGGGAATCTCCAGGTTTGTGTGTGGAGAAGAGGTCAGTAATTTAGTTTGGCCATGTTGAGTTTGAGATACCTCTGAGACATTAAAATTTAACTTGAGGTATGGAGAAGGCAGTTGGATAAAAGAATCTAGAGAGGAGCGGAAAGATCTGGCTATAGATATAATTTAGGGGTTCATAGCAGTGTGTTACTGATGTTATCAAAGGAGGCACTGCACATAGAGTTTGGGTGGATTTGGAGTTATCTGCAAAAGCGACTGAAAGAGCAGCCAGTGAAGAGTAGAAAACCCACTCTGTGTTGTCCTAGAAGCCAAGTGGAGAAAGTGAGGAGGAGGGAGCAGAAAGGTATGGTAAATGTTGCTCTCGATCAAGTGAGATGACGATTGGTAATTGAGCACCACAATTAGTAATGTGGAGATCGTAGGGATCTTGATAAGAATAGTTCGGATGGAGTGAAGGGTACAACAGCTAGAAGGATATTTTATTTAAGAGAAACTGGGAGAAAAACTGGAGCCTGTGACTATAGATGTAACATCTCTGTTACTGTTTTCTCTGTTCAGACTGTCCTATCCTTGATCTTTGACTCTTTTTCCTATAGATCTTATCTCAAATATCAGTTTCTGAGAGAAATGTCCCCGATTAAATGCTCCTCTCATGAAAATACTTTTATTGTATCAGAGACCTTTCCTTGCTAATATATTACAAATGTAGTTTTATAGTTGTCTGTGCCATTATTCTATTAAAATAGGTCTTTTCCAGTAAAGCTTAGGGACACAAGAGAGATACTATGCCTGTTCTTACAGATGATCATATCTTTAGCTCTGAGCATAGTGCCTGGCACCTAGTATGAATTCAATAAATGTTTGATGAGTAAAGGAATGAATGAATGAAAGATGTGATGTCACAGCAGTTTCAAAGGTATTTCATGTTTACCTATTGTTTACAGAAACACAAGGTAATGAATGGATAGAAGGAAGTACAATACAAGGAAAACATTTTTTAATTTACATGTAATAATCATATATAATTGTGGGATACAGTTGATTTTTTTAGTACAAGATACAATGTGTCATGATTAAATTGGGGTAGTTACCAATAGTATATCCATCATTTCAACCGT